GCAGCCTGATAACGCCGGTAGCGATGGAGCTGTGTGGCGTGGGGCTTTTTAATGGGTTGTTTTGGGAGGGTTGGAAGGGGTCGGACTGAAAGCTTTGCCAACTGTAGGGTTTTTTTAATGAGAAAACATCGTCACCGTTGTTATTGCTTCTGGAGCGGGTTATGCCAGAGCAGGGATTACCCTGGAAGGCTGTTGGGGTGAAGAATTGCGGTTTTGTGTGTTGGTGTGAGTCTTCCCCTTGTGCATCTGCTGGTGTTTGCCTCGGAAGAAATGGCTTTAATCTCAGTGTTTTGTTTTAGAAGTCAGAATGCAGCTTCTCCTGTCAGGCTTGTTTGTTTCTTTGGTTTTGTTTTTCTTAAAGGGGAAGATGGCACCATGCAATTGAAGGGATGTTTCAACGCTAAAAGGCTGCTTGGTTTCGTACCTGTGTTGTGGTCCGCTCATGATCATAATTTTTGTATGTGAACTTTGGGCTTCCTCGGATTCGCGGAAATCTGTGGTTTACCCAGAAGTGTGAAACGTGCAGCTGTGCGAATTCTGGATGGAGAGGAGCTTGTTTGAAAAAGTTTGTTAAAAATAAGTCCTACTTTTAGTCTTGGTTCCCACTTCCAATAGGAGAAGGGAAACAAGGTTAAACAAATGTGGAGTTATCCAAAGAGGAATTTAAACGTAGGAGTTCTGTGTATAAAACATGCATTTTATTGCAGGTAAGCTAGTGACACTAATCATTTCAGAAGTAACTGACACCTGTCACAACTTGGAGATTCCTTGATCTCCATTAGAAAAAAATGTCTTCCATGTTGTAGCCCATGAAAGAGCAGATGTTGATCACATAGCTGAGCTAAAACCAAGTTGGACCAGTTGTCCCAGTTGGGGCTTGCATACATCAGAAAGAATTTGTTGGGGATACAAAGTGGAATAGTGGTAAAGCCGTAACTTTTTAGTCATACTTTAAATCTAAAAAATTAGATTTTTAATAGGACGAAGAGCCTAAGTGGAAGAAAGAAGCAAGTCTAAGAGCAAAATATACAATAGAAAGTCAATAGAATCAACACCCTGTATTTTAATGCAGAATGCTATATAGAGCATACTGGCAAAAGGGATAAGCAGCCCTGTATGTGCAGATGCAGTGAGTTCTTGTGTATGTAAGAGGAGAAAAAAAAATAAAATTGGCTGATGAACCCACCTAAAACTTCAACTTGATGTATTTCCACTGTGAAGTAATAAAACACAAATAATTTTTTGTAAAGAAAATGAAGGAGTAACTGCAGAAAGGAGGGGGGTGGCATTTTTTTTTAAGTTTTATTAATAGTCTGGAACTGGATTGATGTGTTTGAGCATGAATGTATTAAAAACTGGCTCAGGTTCCCTGGCTAAGTATATCCCGTCTTGTGTGTCTCCACAGGTAACCGGGATGGTATGTTATTTGAGTCACTGTGAAATTTCCTTACACTCCTGTAGCTTTTCTTTGTTTCCTCTGAAAATGAAAGTGTATAATTTGCTCGTGCTGAATGTAACAAATAAACCCCAACAGTTTAGCTGTAGGCAGATCTTCTGATCCCAGCAATGAACTCTAAAGCTGCTGCTTCTGTGCTTATTATTGCGAGCAGCGAAAGGCATTGTAAATAAATGCATTTTTTAAAAAACATGTTGTGTTTTCTGAAAGGTTTCTTATTTTTTAAGATAATAGGAAGGGAAGGAAAGCTAGATTAATTTTGAGTGATAAGTTCTTCTATGTTCTTCTCCCCCTAACTTTTTTTTTTTTAAACCTATTGGTATTTTACTACATGAAGCACATAGTCATGCTTAGTGTAATGCACAGTTAAGGAAGGTGCTTGCTTTTTTCCCCCCCCCCACACCAACAAGCCTGAATAGGTTGCTGGAGATGATTGCATCAGTGAAGTCAAGTGTTTGTAGTTCATAAATCTGTGTCACTGAGGAGTTTCCACAGGCTTCAGTGGAAATTCTCTTTGCCATTACTGTCTTTATCATTACGTCCTTTACTGATGATGATGGCTCAGACTCTGAAGATGAGCTGTGTGAAAGTGCACTTGCTGAAGTAAGTAAGCTTGTACTCTAGGTCAGAGGGTTTTTTAACCATTATGAACTCGGTGTCCTGATATTTTTTCTCTGAACATGCAGTTTGGGATTTTTCTGGTTCTTGCTGACTGTGCTTTAGTCTCTTAATTTCCTGTCTATCAGAGATAGAAAGTCTGTATGGCAAAAATTCTGCCTGGCAAGCCAGGTGTGCACTGGTGGTTGGATTTGCAATGGAAAAAGACCTGTAAGCACAGGAGCTAGAATAATCCTTTACATTAAAAAGGTTCAGTGGAAAAAGCTGACGTGCTAGTAAAACACTGGTAGTGTTTGAAGACAGGCATTCCATATTTTAGTTGTCTATTGTGACCTGCTAGTGGCAGGTACTAGTTGCCAGATCTGCTGCATTTTGATTTTCATTTTTTTTGCTTGGGTGGACAGTGGTAGTGGTAATGTTTTTCTGGTGCTTGTTGTACTTAAAGTACCTAAAGATCTCTCACAAAGTACTTCATATACAGCAGCATAATTTAGTGTTCAAGTGCATGCCACAGCTCATCTTCCTTTATTCTTTTAGTTTTAGTGCTTATAGGAAACAGTTGAAGATGGGAGGTGCAGTGAGTGCAGGAGAAGATAATGATGAATTAATTGATAACCTGAAGGAGGCACAATACATTCGGACAGAACTGGTGGAACAGGCATTCCGGGCCATTGATCGAGCAGATTACTACCTGGAAGAGTTCAAAGACAATGCCTACAAGGACTTGGCATGGAAGCATGGAAATATTCATCTCTCAGCGCCGTGCATTTACTCTGAGGTGATGGAAGCTTTGGATCTGCAGCCAGGGCTGTCATTTTTGAATCTTGGCAGTGGCACTGGTTATCTGAGTTCTATGGTTGGACTCATCTTGGGTAAATACCTTTTCAATCATGTTAACTGTTTAGATTAAAAAAAGTTTTGAAATTGGGAATGAAGCATTCCTCAAGTAATGAAAATAAAGGGAAGATAGGAAAGTAAAGAATGCATTAATCTAGCTGGACAGTTTATCAGGGTTCTTGCAACCTTCTCAGTGGAACTGGATGGGGTCCAGATTTCTGTGGCAGTTCAGTACAGGCAGCGATGTAATTATACAGGTGGCTGTAGTGGATTCCTGCAGGACTGGACATAAACTTGCATTTGTTACCCCTTAAGGAAGAACCCAGCTCAGGGGCAGGAGTGCCATGTTTAAACAGGATTGAGCATGTCCACAGAAACCTGTGGCTCTTGCTGCCCTGTGCCTTGCTTAGTTCTGTACGGTCCTGTCTAGACTGAAACATGTTTGAGATCCAGTTTTAACTCTTACCAACACCCAGGTGGGAATAGACTCTGGAAAGCAGCTAGTGCATTGGAACTGATCTTGTGGCCGCATCTAGAGGAGTTGGGAAGCAAAGCATCAAAGTGCAATTACACAATTTGCCCTTAAGTATGTCAGTCAGCAGTTGTGGTGCCAGGGTAGACAGCAAATGCCCAGAGGGTACATATTTTCCTTCTGTGGGGGTGTCAAGAATTTTAACTGCTGAAATGCTTGTTGTCAGGAGAGAGCCTCTCTCCTGTCTCCCATTTCTGGTGTTCTGCTAGGTTTGTTGAGATTACCTGGGATGCCAGGATGTAACTCCAGGGCTTTTGGATTCTTTTGAATTTTTGGATAAGTTACCAAGTCAGTTCTGAATAAAAACCAGGAGTGCTGAACAACTTGCTTTCCGATTTGTTTTTGCTGTTAATTGAGGTACAATGTATGGTGACTGTTCCTGCTGCTTTCGAGGAGATTTTTAGCATATCAGCAAGGAGGTCTAAAAAAGATTTTTTTGAGGGATTTATTAAAACATGCAGACTATTGTTCTGCACTGGAATTTTTTTGAGCTGGTCAGTTTTACAGCAATAGTATTTCTTCAGTATCAATGTTTCCCTCCTATAGAGGAGTTTCTTGCATACTTAAGAGCAAATGATAAAAAAATCAATTGTGCAAAACAGCCTCATTTGCTGTCAGAAATTGCAGGTGTATATACAGTTCCCATTGTAGTACTAAGACAGCTGAGCCTACACGAGCCCTGACTGTCTGGCGCTCAAGGAGCAATCTGTTACAGGAAGTAACCAAAACTGGATTCAATCCTGCTGGATTTTGTGCGGTTGCCTGTTACCATTCTCCTGTTGTTCTGAATTTCCAGGTCCTTTTGGTGTTAACCATGGTGTGGAGCTTCATTCTGATGTGATCGAATACGCGAAGCAGAAATTGGACTTCTTCATTAAAACAAGTGACAGCTTTGACAAGTAAGAACGCGTAATGCCCCTTTGGATTCATTTTGTGCGTTCGGCTTTAGTGATGGCAGTTCTTGCTGCCGTGTGGCAGCTCTGGATTCAGGGTAATCTGAGGATTCTGGCTCCTTAGGCTTGCTGAGCTGCAGCGTGTGACCTTCTAAGCTGATGGGTATTGTGCAGGAGTTTCAGAAATTTTTGCAGTGTTTTTAATAGCAGTGCTGCTCCTGCAGAGCTTAGAGGAAGCTGAAGAAGGTTACTTATTTTAAAATGTGCTTGCAGGTAACAACTTGAAACTTGCAAATAACAGCAATAGCTCTGTTTGTGATCTGAGAGCGTGCCTGGTTATCAGAAGAATATAAACTGATCTCTGTGGTGGCCTAATAGGTTTTATCTGAGAAGAAGAAAAATGGGTATTTTAAAATATGAAGGTAGTTTTATGATGATTAAGTTGGTACTAAAGCTGCTCAGGATTTGATTTATGTTCTTCCTTAGAACCTCCATTTTGCTGCTGTCACAAGTAATAACTTTCCAGCAAGATAACCATTGCCAATAGTAACCTCAGCAATAAAAGTTGCAGCTGTCATATTTTTGGATCCATCTCACAGTTTGTTCAAACAGGGAAATAAAGCATCTCTGGATAACTGATAGTCCTCCTCTCGTGGGAGGAAGAAAATTTCAGTCATTAGATTCTGGAATTTAAACTACTCAGCCTTGTGCTGTTACTGCTGTACTGGAAAGCTGCTGATGACAGGGCTGTATTTTCTTGATGTTGGCAGCAGACCGCAAGGTTTCAGCGTGGAAGGTGCTTGCACATAGATGACTGGCTTTTTTCAGAGTCACATTGCTATTGTTGAATGGATGTTCTAAGAAAGACTTTTCTCTCTCCAGACAAATATAGCTATGGAGCAAAAGGGAGTTGAATTCAGAAATCAATGTGACTGGAAAACTGGCATTGCTGAGAGAAGTGGCTGCTGGTTTATGCTGTTAGAACACCGCGTGCAGGAACTGGTAGCTGCTTGCTCTGAATGTCTAGTGTGCTTTGCAAGAGCAGAAAGCTTCAGGAAATGTTTAGGAATAAAGAGGTGCTATATTGAGCTGCTTCTCAGGATACCCATAGAAGAGTGGATATGTTCTATCAAAACCAGCCCTTAAATGTGAGGCTTAAAGCTTATGTAGATTAGGAGCATGTAAGAAAACCAAAAGCATCATAGAACCATTAATTTTTCCTCTAAACTGAATCAGAAATGCTATAGGCAAAAATTCTCTTTTTGAAGGGTGAAATCACAGTTCTTTTGAAGCTAATGGCAAAACTTCCATTGGCTTCAGCAAAGCGTGTTTCTGAAGCTTCAGGTTACAGTTCCCCACAACATCTGAAAACCATTTAAAAGCTTTTGAAAATGCCAGAAACCCCTTGGTACAGTCCTTAGAAGACTTTAAAATTTGGAATTGCAGGTCTAATATTTATATTTGCATATTATAACTGTGTCAGCCTCAGTTGACTAAAAATAGCTTGTTCTGAAGAATTACATGCAACTCAAGTATGAAATTACGCATCCTTATCCTTTGGAGATTTTCATCTATGAATTCTCACCTCATTTTTCTGTGGTTTTGAGTCTTCTAGCAGTGGTCTGTTCTGATAATATTTAGAATATATGGGCTTCAGAAGAGAAATCCCATGAAACTGGTTTTTTTTTTTTTTTCCTTTGGCATGTATTTTTTGTTGTTTCATTTTTTTTCAGAATCATGAAAATAATTCATTTGATAAATTGTAATATTCCTGTATGATACCCATCTTCTTCATTTTCAGATTTGAATTTTGTGAGCCATCTTTTGTTACCGGCAATTGTTTAGAGATTTCTCCGGACTGTACTCAGTATGACCGTGTTTACTGTGGTGCTGGAGTACAGAAGGAACACGAAGACTACATGAAGAACCTGTTGAAAGTTGGGGGAATTCTTGTCATGCCTCTAGAAGAGAAGGTTGAGTGCCTTCAGATTATCTTTTTGGTGTCAAAGTGTGTTGTTTTAACGGACTTGTACGGCTGAGGTGTGGGTATCTGACCTTTCAGCCCTGTCAGGGTGGTTGAGACAAGCAGAGCGCAGAGTTTCTTCCCAGTTAAGATGCTGTGCAGTGGGTTAGTGTAAGAGATGTGAGCTGCAGCAGAAATCCAGTGATCTACAGTCTTCCTTCAAGAGTGAACGTTCATCGGTGACCGAGGTGTTTTCTCAGTGGTTCTGGGTCAGAACTGAGGAAGAACTGGGAAAGCAGGGGGACCCACACTGCCAGTGCCCCATACTCATTGCAACATTACTTCGGGCTAATCCTGTAAGGAGTTCTGAATTTTCTCAAAAAAGCCCCAGTGTTTCTCCTTATTACCTAACTTTTACTGTTGTAGCTTCTAGTACTTTAACCACTGTTCTAGGCAGAAAAGTTGTTGGTTTTTTTTTTTGTTGTTCAAAAATCTTGCTGATGTTCACACAACGGACAATAATCTCCTTGTTTTGTTTTAGTTAACGAAGATAACCCGTACTGGTCCTTCTGCCTGGGAAACTAAGAAGATTCTTGCTGTTTCATTTGCTCCTTTGATTCAGCCGAACCACGCAGATTCAGGAAAATCAAGGCTTGTTCACTTGCGTGAGTACAGACATTCTTGTGTATAGGGGAGCTTTCTTCTGCTCTTTGGCTATAAGCTGCACCTTGCTTCCTTAGATGTAATGTCCCTATGAATAGTTTCAGGGAAAATTACTTCAACTACTTCCTTCTTTGGGCAGTTGTCTAAGTCTTGTGTTGGATCCCAGGCTATCTTTGAGTACATCTGCAGACATCTGGTGCAAGAATCAGAATTTCCTAAAATAGATTCTAAATACAAATGATTTCTTGTGAAATTGTATCTCAACTTGGTGGGATGTTTGGTCATTGTTTTTGCATGTGCAGACATCTGTTTCAATCCTGAATTGCATACTATCATGGTCTCGGGCACTGTGCCATGGTGATGGAAAATACACAAGCAGTACCTGGGAACAAACACTGTATCTGCTCAAAGGCTCCCACTGCCCAGCAATTCAGAATTACCCTGAACCTGGAGCGCTTGAGGGATCTGTTTGAAATGTGGGTTGTATGCAGTGGCCTCAATCTTTAGATTAAGACTTCAGTGTAGAGAGGCCTCTTAAGCACACATGAAGACAGAGATATTTCCATAAAGAGATTAGTCAGGCTTTGTTCTTATTCTGGAAAGGTGTCTTTGCATGACAACAGCAGCTCAGTAAGCAGTCAGTACAATGCTGTGAAGTCCGCTAAGTGCGTATTTCAGCATGGTGGCTTTCTAGTGAGACCTACATAGACTTTATGTGTGGGTTTTGTTTTTTTTCCTGGTTCCTTCAGGTCACAGGAATGCTTATTTGTTTTTAGAAGACAGGGGGTTTGTTTGTTTCAGTTTAAATTCATTTTAGAACATGGCTGTGTGTGCATCAATACATTTTTTTTCTTTATGCTGCATGAGTTATGTTGTGCACTTATGGGCTGGCAGAAGACAGAACAGTCTTCCAAACCATTAATGTGGGAGGTATTTTAATACAATAACTTATTGTGCGCTTCTATAATTACTTTTACCAAATGGTTTCCAGCCTGTCTTCACCCACTAAGTCTGAAGCAGTTTTTGAATAGCATAAATAGTACTCAAATTTTGTAAGTAAAGAACTTGGCAAAGCTGAAGTAACTTCACAATAGAAAAATCATTTTATGGAAGACTTAAGTAGACTTCAGGTCTAGTTATCTATGGTAGAAAAATATCTTTTTCTAAGTTATTAAACAGTCAACAGTTTCAGTCACTAAGTCTGCATTCTTATAATCTTTAAGGCATGTGTATCTTAAAATAATTGTGAGGACTTGACATCAAAATATGAAACTCCTTTCATCCCATTCTTTGTCTTCAGTTAATGAGAGAAATGCATAATTAAATTTTGTTTGGAAAGTTACAATACAGTTTATCTGAGTTGACAGGAATTGAATAGGGCTGTTTTTGTAATCACAGCAGGGAATTGAAGTGTCCTGATTTAATTTGAGCAAATACAACTTTTTCTATGAGTACTCTTGAGGGGAGTTTCTCCATATCTGTTCATGGTTTTCATTTTGTTTTAGCCCCAGTGGCTGTTCGCAGCCTCCAGGATCTGGCTCGCATAGCCATCCGAGGAACCATTAAAAAAATTATACATCAAGAAACAATAAGCAAAAATGGAAATGGGCTGAAGAACCCCCCGAGATTTAAACGAAGACGAGTGCGTCGCCGTCGCATGGAAACTATTGTTTTCTTGGACAAAGAGGTCTTCGCTAGTCGTATCTCCAACCCGTCGGACGATAACAACAACAGTGATGAAATGGAGGATGAGAGACGAGAAGAGGAAGAAACTAAACCCTCTGAACTCAAGCCAGATCCCCCTGTAAACTTTTTGAGAGAAAAGGTCTTGAGTCTGCCTTTGCCTGATCCCTTGAAGTATTACCTGCTTTATTACAGGGAAAAGTAATTTCCTTCTTCTAGGAAGTGGGAAGTAGGCAGAAAATAAAGTACTCTTTAGGGCTTGACAAATGTATACCACTTGCTTGCCTGCTAATATGACCACCCAACGCAGTAGGCTAGCTGGGGAATGTGGCTGCTGTATACTTAAACGTTATTATAGCTTTTTAAAGTGTTTTTTTTCTTCTTGGTTGTGTGCTATAGTTTTATCCTACAGCAGGGATTCCTTAGAAAGCAAGTTGGTAAAATGCTCAGCTGCTTCTGGAAAGGAGGATTTAATTCCCTGAAACTAACTGCACAGAGATATTCTAAAAATCTCATGGCTGCTCTACTGAATTGCAGTTTTTAAATATTCTTCAGCCGTTCCCCAAAGACCTTTGCTGTCTGTGCTCTCTCCCACTAGACCTGCCATGTGTTTCCCATGGTGTGTGTTTAATGAAGGATGAAGATCATTAGTAAAAACTGACCTGGTAAATTTTGTTTCTTCCAGTAAACTGAAAAAGCACAATTTTTATAGGCATGAAAGAATTTTTGGCATTGGGCCTTGTGGCATCCAGGTTTTGAATGAGAAGGAAAGCATCAGCTCCCCTTTGCTTGGTCTCAGTTTTGCTTATAAACTATATATAATTTTTCAGTACAAGGTAAGAATGTTTTACAGAATATTGGTTTCCTTAATGGGAAACTCGTGTTCTAACGAATTAGTCTAATGGAGATGCAAAGGTTTGGGTTTGGTTTTTTTAACGCGATGGAGGCAAGTGAGGAGTTGAAAAATGGATTAGCTTTGATGGGATGCTAGGGTAGTCAAGGTTGTGACTGTTGTCTCTAGAAATGTTTCCAGGGTAATTCTGAGTGGGGAGGAGGGTAGAGAGGAGATGCATAGCAGTGAGTTCGTGAAAACTGCCTGTGAAAGCAGAATCTGTGGATTTTGCTGTTGTGTGAGATAATTTACGACTGCTGGGCTGAACAGAGTGAAGGGCAGAGTGTGGGCCTGAGTGGGGTGGCTTGTGTCCCAGTAATTCAGCCAAATGTAGTTTTGTGGAGGGTACGAAGAACCTGAAAACAGTCTAGAAAGCCAAATTGATGCAGTTCTTAACGAGTTCCTCTGTGTGCCCCAGTGTAGTGAAGTGGCTGGAATACAGCCTGCGTACACACAGTCCGCATGCAGCAGGGAGAATGAAGTTGATGGATTTGGTAGCCTCTGGTATTCCTGCAACAATTAAGCAGATATTTTAAGAGGCTCGTATAGAAGGACTTTACACTCCGCAGTTCTGTGGATGTGAACTCTAATTTTTATTCCCAAGTCTTCCTGAAGTCTTCCTGTAATGGTGATGGAAGGAGATACCACATTTAGAAGGGGAAGTTTACTTGGTTCAGGCTGTCAGAAAAATCTGAACTGGTAAAGGCTGGAAAGAAACCCTTCAGCTTGTAGTGATGTGAAATACTCCTAAAGCTGGGGGGGTGAAAAATCCCATCTCAGCAGGTAATGAAGCTATGTTAAGGCATTTCCCCATGAGAAGCACTTAAGTTGGTATCGCTTTCATATATTTTTTTTTTATGCTGGCTCCTCGTTTTCTGAGGAACGAATGAAGACTGTCTTGCCAAAAACATGCTGGGTTTTCGGTTAATGGTACTGAGTTGCACAACTTGCTTAATGATAACTGGTATTTCAAAGTTCTGTGCGGCTTTGAAAATAAACGGATAATTCTTGTACGTCTAAAGGTGGAGAATTCTTCCTTGCTTAACAGGCTTTTTGTATGTCTTTAAGAATATTATCAGATAATATGGTGTCATGTGGCTGCTGGCACGTAACAGCCTCATAGGCTGTGTTGTGCCTCTGGTTTCCCAAGTCTCCACTCCTGGTGTAAATGGTACCCCAGGCTATCTTTCTCCCTCAGATTTTTATTTCTTTATTTGAAGTGGGGCCGTTCTATGGCCACTGAGCTGATGGTTTCCTGTAAACATACAAGCACCCATCTTGTAATTCCTTCTACAAATGAAAATCCTGGTGGTAAATGGAGGCTTAATAGAATCTGTGTGTAATATCTGGGCTTCCCTAAAGGCTGTCACCTCTGTATTTTTTAGGCGTTTCTGTTGAATAGCTGTCACACCAGGTATGTGCCTTTCTGTATCGTGGCACAATTCCCATGCCCCTACACAGCACAGGGTGCCTCCTCCTTCTGCCCACCAGGTCATCCTTCAGTTTGGTAATAATTCAACTACTTTTAGAGAAGTTGCTTTAAAAATTATACTAAACTTCAGGTTCGTATTAGTAAACCTTGCTGCGATTCTGTTAAAGCTGACCAGTTGAGGGAGAATTATCTTTCATTTATCCCTGTTTGATTTTACCCCCCCATCCCACCCCCAGCTGTAAAAATCTGATAAAACATCTTTTCACCAGATTTGCCTTTTTTATTACATTTGCTAGATTTTTGTAACTTTCTATAAGATGCATAAAATACTGCTATTTTTCCTGGATAAGGTTAAATAAATAAAGAAATATATATACAGGAAATTTATGTTCTACCTTGTCAAATTGTCCCCTTGTCCAGAAAACCACAGATCCCAACAAACCCATAGTAGAAATTTTATGTGTAATATAATAGTAAATAGTATTGCTTATAGCCTGTAAATGAAGGGGAACTGTAAATACTTTTTCCCTGTGCACTAGCACTTGCACTGTAGTTTTGTATGCATTCCTGATGGAGTAATTGTCGCATAACTGGTTTTGTATGGTCTGTAAGCTGTCTAGTAATTTTACCTGCTTTGACTGTTTCCTTTTGTGTTGTAAGTAGTCTTCACTTTAACTGTATGTGACTCTTCAGATTTCGATACTGCAGTAAATTTGCAAAAAGGAATGGACTTCAAGCTGCTTTAATCATTAGTGTGTATGTTGAAAAATCTGTGTAGAAACTAGAGTTCAATTGGCCTGAGGCATGCAAAAGTGTTATGCAATTTAAACTTATTAATAAGTGTTTCTGTATCAGTAAATTAAGTAAAGACTTTTTAGCCTTCTTAACATGGCTTTGCCTCATGTTGTGATTAGAGTACTTTGTCGGTGAGTACCTGTTCCCATAATTGAAAGTTAAGACAGTCGAACACTAGAGAAAGCACTTCATCATACGGTGCAGGTGCATAGTTTCAGATTAACTCCCTAGAATATAATCTCTCAGAAGCAACCTGCCCAGCTGATGATTTATAAGCCTTTATATAATGGAGTTCTACAAAATGTTAGCACACACAGAACTGATCTTGATTTCATATATCAGGACGGTTGAAGAGTGAATTCACTTACCTGGCTGTTAGACCTGCAGACAACAGATCTCAAGAGATTATTTGATCCATTTCTGTCCTTCAAGGAATTGCCTAAACCAACCATGTCAGGAGCTGGTTTGATGCATTCTGAACTGCAACTCCCCTCTTGTCTCCTGTGCTCTGTTTTCAGTGCTAAATTAATGAAAGTTTTTAAGAGCTGGTGTTCGAGGCTTCCATTTCACTAGTATTGAGAATAACATCATGGCTTCAGCTGTACTAGAAACTGATCATAACAGCAAATAAGCTGTTGCTAATTGCATGTGTCTGTTAACCTTTATTCCACAGGACAGTTACCTATAGTCTGTGTTTCTTCCTGTCATCTGTGTGTATGGTAGATGTCCTTTTACCAACTATAACATGAGACTAGTTCAGTGTTTATGTTTTCCTTCATGCAATGCTTGCTGGAAAAAAAAAATCCTTTTCTGCTTTGGAAACCTATGGCTGTGTGATACGAGTGGTATCAAGTAAATGACATTTGTCAGATAACGTTTATGTTCACTTCATAGTAAAATGTACAACATCACCTTTCCCTGGGAAGTAGCGATGAGCTCCTCAGGGGACCTACGCCCATGAAATCTTTCTGCTGGGGCTAAAGTGAATAAAAAAAAAAAAAAAAAAAAGAATGGGGGTGGAAGAAAAACAAAAACAAACTTCCTTGCATGTAAAGTCATCTGTCTAGCAGAGGCTGGAAATGCTTAAGCGTGGGACACAAATGTTAACTTTTGGTTCTTGTTCAGAGTTGCACCCTCTTTTTTTTAAAGCAATTCATCATATTGATGGAAAATAAGATAAATTAATACGAGAGGAAGGGATCTGCACTTGCTAGTGTTTTGTAACATCTCACAAACATCCCATTTGTCATGAAGGGGAGATAAGCAAGGTAGAAGATGTATGGTTCAAGTGAAGATCTGCTTCTAACTAAACGTATAGATTGCAGAACCTGCCTTTTTGCACTCAGATTTATCCTCGTGGTATGGCCACTGTTAAATGTGCTGACTTTGCTGAAGATGTTGTTCCCACAAAGCAGCAGGCAGCAGGCACCCATCAATCCTTCCAGAAGCTGCCATCCACCGCACAGCCAGGCGCTGAAATAAGATCCCAAAGACAGTACGTATAGAAACATGACTGATGCCTAGCCCAGCAATATAAATAAACCTGGAAGGGATTTTCTTTGCAGATGGTTGGTTTAGAGCTGAGAGTTTATGCACCAAGATGTAATTGGAGGCAGAAGGCAAAAACCCTTGAGTGTGCAAAGCGGCCAGATGTGCCCGGGACAATGTTGATGACTTTCCTACATACTGAAGCCTGGTTTGAAGAGAGCATTTTTGTTTATTTTCTTCTCAAATTGGAATTAAAAGCTGTCATTCACCTGGAGCAATTTTCTCAGTAGTTATCTAAAGGCTGGAGCAGGTAATTTAGCCTTTGACACCCCGTTTTTGTAAGAAAGGGCTGGGTGGCCACTAGAGGACACTCTGCTCAAAACCATGAGCTGGGTGCACAGGGCGAGCGGGAGTTGTTCAGGAACTTGCTCAGGTTTCAAAGCCATGCCAGGGCAAGCAGGCAACAGATGGCCTGAGGGCTAGATGCAGAAAACCGGCAGTATAATGCCCTTTCTATAGCTGGAAAAAAATACAGCTTTTACCACCTATGACATGAAATTCATAAGTAAAACCCAACAATCTCCCCATATGCTCCAGAGACAGAGAACCTGCAGGGAGAAGAGAATCGGGGAGATTTAAATGTCCCTGTTGTGAATTCTCTTGTAGTTTACAGTATAAAGCAGGTGTGCAGGTGGACGGGAAACTTTGGTTTGATCTTGCAGGTAATGTGGAATAGTGTGATGTTTAGAAACCCTCCAGCACCTTTGGATCCTAACGAGGGTTAATGCCTCACACTCGTGCTAAACCCACACATCGAGGATCTTGTGTAGTA